TCATTATTGGGATCCTATACCTTTACATGACGGGTCTTGATTCTCCTTTTTTCCCCTTGTCCCTGCCCTCCCTTCAACCCCTCCTCCCCTACACATTTACCAACACTTTATTTCCATTTTTTCAGTTTCTCATATTTTTTCCTCTCCCTTATTACCTTTCCCCCACCCTTCTCACTTTCCCTACACCTTTAGCCCTTTTCTTCCTATTTCACATTATTAATTATCTCATTAGGATCTTGTGTACTATTATAGTTTTCACACCAGAGAAACTATTCAGTATTTACACATGTATGGCGTATTTATTTCACTTAAGAGTATATCCTCAATATGTATCCATTTTCCTATGAATGACTCTAATTTCTCATTCTTTGTGGCTGAGTAGTATTCCATTTTATAGAAAAGCCACATCTTCTTTATCCAATTTCCAACAGATGGGCAAATGTGCTGTTTCCAAGTTTTAGCTATTACAAACTGTGCCGCTGTAAACATTGGTGTGCATATATCACTGTGGTTTGATTCTTTTAATTCTTTTGAAAGATACCCAGCAGAGGGATGGCTGGGTCAAATGGAACCTCTAGTCCCAGCTCTTTGAGGTATCTTGATATGTCCTTTCTTTTCTAACTCTGCCTTATTTGTACAAAATAAAAAACAATAATAAACTGGAAATTTTTGGATAAACTAATCTATAAACAGTAAATAGAATGAATAATTTAGAACTCTAGGATTCAGCAAAATATGACCTTGTAACTTGTGACTTTATGCTTAATTATAATGATCAGTTAAATAATTCTCTGTATGAAAATTAAAAATAAGGGATCCTAAAATGATAAAACTAAAAAGGAAAGTAAAAGAGAAAAGGCAATGATGTAAAATTAAAGTCATCCTTAATTCTGAAGATGAAAATGGTCCCTAAATATATATATTTGCTTCTTGTTCTTGTAGTCTTATTCTTTATTTTATTATTTAGAGAATACTTTATTAGTTTCTGTAATCAAACCCACATAGATAAGAACTTACATATTTAATACAGTGCATTACCCCTGTACAAATGGGAAAAAAATTAACATTTCTAGACCAATATGGATGTTAATTTCTGCACAATACCAGCTCAACACAGTAAACTGGGATAACTTTTTCCAAAGTTGACAGCACAGTTAAAGTTTCCAAAAATTCAAATTATATATATGTGTATATATATATTTATACTTATATAAAAAGAGCAATAATAGCAGTATGTTATGCATCAATAGAAGAACAGCTTTTCCAGGTTCTGCAGTCATCTGAACAAAATTATAGACATTCAACACACTCCATTAAAAAAACAAAAACAAAGAGAAGAATAATACCCAGAAAACAGCAAAGTTCTTTTACTGTTGTGGTACCTGGCACCATTTTTTTAATTAACATCTTAATCATCGTCTAGAAAGAGAACATTCTAGAGTAACATCATTAAATATAGCCCTGATAAAGCATGGTCACTACTACATATCATAAAGCAGGTACAAGATATTTTACATTCACAGAGGTATGATATAGTACTGTCCTTCATCTATAATACTAGAATCAGTTTTGGTTTGAAATTTACTTTGTCTTAGATTGCTACCCCTGCTTTTTTCTGGGCTACTGTTGCATGGAGAATTGTTTTCCATCCTTTCACTTTTAGTCTATGGGATTCTTTTTTGCACTAGGTTTGTTTCTTGTATACAACATATTGTTGGATTTTGCTTCTTAATCCTTTCTGCCAGTCTATTTCTCTTGATTGGTGAATTGAGGCCATTGACATTGATGGTTATAACTGATATGTACTGACTTATTATTGTCATGTTATTGGCCTCTTGTTGACTTGTTTTACTTTTTCGCCCTCTCCTTTTAGTTTCTTGCCTTGCCTATTTGATTTGCTCTGTTGGGCCTCATGGTGTTAACTTCATCGTCTTTTTCTAGGATATTGTTTAGAATTGCTTGTAGTGCTGTTTTGGTATTCATGTAGTTTCTCAGGTGTTCTTTGTCATGGAAGTATCTTATTTCCCCATCCATTTTGAAAGAGAGTTTTGCAGGATACATTAGTCTAGGTTGGAGGTTGCTCTCTTTTAGTACTTGAAATATCTAACTCCAGGCTCTCCTTGCCCTAAGGGTTTGTATTGAAAAGTCTCCTGTGATTCTGCTGGGCTTTCCTTTGCATGTGATTTGTTTCTTTTCACTTATTGCTTGTAGCATTTCGTTATTCCGTTGGGTTTCTGGGATCTTGATTATTATATGTCTAAGTGTAGATTTTTTTTCCTTGTGGCTTTTTGGGGTCCTATATGCCTCAGTTATCTGAATGTCAAATTCTTTTGGTCTGTTTGGGAAGTTTTCTGTCATTAATTCTGTTAACAGCTTTTTAAAGTCATTTGTATTTTCTCCTGCTACTTCATGTATTCCTATCAGTCTTATGTTATTCTTCTTTGCATCATCTAGGAGTTGTTGGATCGATTTCTCAATCCCTTACTGTTTTTAAGAGATTTCTCTTTTCATGGTCACTGACTGCAATCTTATCTTCTATATCTGAGATTCTATCTTCTCATTCTTTTATTCTGTTGCATACACTTTCAATGGAGTGTTTAATCTCCTGGATATCTGTTTGAATCTGTTTTATGGATTCCATTTCTTTGCTATGTTGGGTGTTTATTGTTTCCATTTCTTTCTTATGGTGGGCCTTCATGGTTTGTATTGTGGTCCTGAGCTCATCTTTTTTTTTTTTTGTCACTTTCTGTTCTAGAGTCTCAAGTCACGACTTTCATTTTGCTCACCATCTCTATGGTTATCTGGGAAATTATTTCTGTTTTGAATTTTTGTAGAGCCTGATTGATCTGTTTGTTACTTCCTGTGTTTTGAGTTCAGGGTGTCCTGGGTTCATTATCAGCCTTTTCATCCTCATTTGCCCTACTGTTTGCCATTGGTGAACTAGAAATCTGTCTTTGTGTCTTGCATAAGTGTTTTCTCATTTTTATTTTTGTTGTCCGGCTGTCCTTGGTTTAATCTCTGGGTTATCACCCAAATCTTCCTGATATAGTTATGCCCTAGCTTCTGGGTCTCTAACAACCCACAGACATTCTCATCTTCATAACTTCAGAGAAAACAGCTCATCAAATCAACCACAATCCTTTATCCCAACTGATACAATCAGCAACACATTATGATCAAGCACAACTTGGAAACTGACCACTTGTGGTAGTCACTAGTCTATCACCCTTAAGGCATGTGAATTAAATTGAAATCAAGAAGCAGTCCAAAACATGTCTGCAGTGAACAAACTTTTCTACATAGTATATTTACCATTTAGGATGGGGGCTCAGACAGAACTAGAATGAGAGGAGTAGATAAGTAAATGAATTGGAGGTTTCAAGTGAATCCAGAGGACATAGAATGACCACACAATATTCAGGAAACTGTTGAGTTTGAAAGGACAGAGTAGACAGAGTAGAAGTACAAGGACAGAGTAGACAAAGTAGAAGTACAAGGACAAGAATGTATCCCCTTAACAGCAATAGGGGCTCGCTTTCCCTTGAACCCACTGACCCCTGTGTGAAGTAGAATGACAGAAGAAAAGAAAATAAAGAAAAGAGAAAAAGTGATAAAAGAAGAAATCTGAGTTAGGGCAGGAGCAGAAACAGAAAGGGAGATGAGGGATAATATGGTGGAGCAAGAGACTGAATTGGGGAAAGAGGACAGAAAAAAGAAAGAATTTGCAGAGTAGAATGAGGAAAAGAAAAAAAGAATTTGAAGGGCCTCTTTCAAACTATGTCTCTGCTGTCATAATACAACATGTGCAGCCATGTGCAGAACCAAGACCCCTGATCTCAGCTAGCTGATGGCAAAACCCCATGATGAAGACTGACCTCAGGCTGCAAGGCCAGATTGAGTTCCCTGACCTCCTGAATGGTTGAACTCCACACCATTCTACTACAGGTTTCCCATACCCTTTCTTTAAAGATATTCAAAGTTGGGAACTCAGAAAAATACCCTTTATGACCACCTCTGCCTCTGCAGAGTGGGTCCAAAGACTGGCACAATCAGGAGGTCTGAGAGTGTGTGCAGGGGATGGGGAGTTGGGGGAGTTGTGGGGATTCAGGGGTGCCCGTGAGGCTACCTTCCTGGCACTGGAGCAATGGCAGCTTCCAGCGGGAGAGGGCATGGCTCTCAACACTTTTGATTCCATTTTGTAATTGAGGTATCATGTGATACTTGTCTTTTTGTGCTAGGGCTTATTTCCTTTAACATACTGCCCCGTGGTACATTTGTATTATTGTGAAGGGCAAGGTTTTCTTCTTTTCAAAAGGCTGAGTAGTATTCCATAGTGTGGATAGGTACCATATTTCCTTTTTCTATGGTGCAAGTTTTCTACCATAGAGCCACACACCCCCCATTTCCTAGTTTTGAAAATATTTTCTTTATCCATTCATCCAGTGATAGAAGCTTTTAGATTGAATTTCTTTTTCTTCTTTCTTTTTAATACCAGGGATTGAACTTAAGACCTTGCACTTGCGAGGCAGGCACAGGCCACTCAGCTAAATTCCGGTCCTGAATTTTCTAGCTTATTGAGAATAATGCTACAATGAACATGGGAGGGGAGATGTATCTTTCACATACTGATTTAATTTCCTCTGAATATATACCCACTAGTGGAATTGCTGGATCATATGGCAGCTCTATTTTTAATTTTTTAAAGAACCTTCAAACTTCTATTTAAGATGGAGTCTTAAAAGAAAAGCACTCATTTAGCTTTTTACATGGTCCTTTCATTTTTTATATTTCCAACCCATAAATCAGGAATTGTACAAATGTATTAGTTTTCCACTCATTAAAAAATAAAGCTTTGATACATATGTACATGTCCCAATTCCCTCTAATAAATGAATTTGTTTTATAAATGAATTTGTTTATATCAAATATATGCTAATAAAAAAGGGAAAAAAATGAAAGCTAAAATAGTACCTTTAATCTTTATTGTTTTTCTTCTCCAGGCAATAAGCTTATTCATTTTGGTGGGATTTACAGGAGAATTTCAAGTTTTTTCAAGGTGAGAACTTTTTGGTTGTGTATGGAAGTCATTGAAAGTATTAATTTTTAAAAGAAATTATTTAGTATGATCTAAGTTTCATATTGCAACTTGAGCATGCTTATCCCTCCAAAATACTTTGTTCTTCTATATTTTTTAGAAAAGGCAATCATAACAGAAGTGTGTTTTATTCTTATTCTTATTTTAGCTTATTTTTCCCTGTAAAGAAGATAGTTGAAGACTAAAAATACCTACAAGCTTTTGCACCAGTCCTGTGGTTTTATCTGTAATTCAGCGAATCCCACTTCCTAGAGCAGCACTTGAACTTTGAATGTAATCCTCACAAACATTCTCTGGGTTTTAAAGGTAGAGAGTATTTTAAGAAAACAGATTTATCTACTCTTGAGACCTGAAAAAATGCCAGAATCATTTGCTCATGACCTTGTTTTGTTTTCACTGTCAGATTGATGGGAATAGGTCAGCTCACTTGATGGAACTATCAGGATATGTGTCAGGGGCTGTGACAGGACCCAGTATACAAAAAGAGCTGAGATGGCACTAAGGGTCTCCTTGGTGATTCTGATCCTAAAACCCATCCTTGCAATACAAGTGATCTTGGGGCCTTGCACTGGGTGATGTCAGACATGGAGGAGAGAAAGCTAAAGGAGCTTTCCTTTTGAAGCCTATGTGTTTCGGGGGAGCCCTCTGTTTTTTCCTGGGACACAAAGTAAACAATAAACTCAGATTGTTTAAGGATCAAGATACTCAGGTACTAGTGCCATATTAAAACAAGCTACCAAGGTTGATTTCATAAAAGCCCAGAGGGTCACACACAGCAGAATGGGCTTTATTTCTTTCAAGGCAATCTGACTTTCTGAAGATACACAATCTCCCTCAATCACTTAGGGGTGGCTGAGGTGTTCTCTTCCACAGTTGGTATCATGCAAGCTTCAACTCTCTACTTCCTCATGTACTTTATTTGAGTGAAATTGTTTAGTCTTGCAGTGCCCCGTTTGGTATGCACTTTGGAAATAGCCTAAGATAACATGGGGAAAATTTACACAGGGATTACTGTGTGTTTGGCCTCTGCTAGTTTTTCAGTTTCCTATATTTCACAGGGGCATCTTTTTTCAGTACATATTTGTGTTACATAATGATTACATTTTTGTGGGGAGTTAATACATGTACATAACACATTTCAATTCTTTTTTCATTCCCTATCCTCTCCTCCTTTCCCTCTCCCCTCCTTTTATCTCTTGATCCCTTTATCATTTGAAAAAAAGCTATCTCTCTACTTCCTATTACCTTTTGTTCTTTATTTCTTCTTTGGGTTCCTCATATAATGGAAACCATCTTAGACTTAAGCCCCTGTGTCTTTTATATTCCACTTAATGTTATGGTCTCAATATCCATCCATTTTCCTACATATGACTCACCTTTATCCTTCTTTATGGCAGACTAGGACTCCATTGTGTATAATAATACACTTTCTTTATTCACTAACCTGTTGATAGATATATAAACTGCATCCAAGATTTAGCTGTGCTGTTGTAAACATGGGCATGTATGTATACTATAATATAATGTCATTAACTCTTTAGGGAAGATATATAGAAGGGGAAGAGTTGCATAAAATGGAATTTCTATTTTTAGTTTCTTAAGGTATTTCCATACCAATTTCCAGAGTTGTTGTACAGGTTTACACTTCCCTCCTCAATGTAGAAGTTCCCTTTCCCCCCTGCAGCCTTGTTAGTACTCATTATTATTTGATTTCTTGATGTTGGCCATTGTTTTTGGAGTAAGACAGAATCTCAGTCATTTAAATTTGCATTTCTCTAAGTGATGTTGAGCATTTTTTTCAGTATTTATTGGCTATTTGTATTTCTTCTGAGAAGTGCCCATTCATTTCAGTTGCCCATTTTTTATTGTTTTTTTTAATTTGGGAAGGCATAATTATTTTGAATTCTTTATATTTCCATATGTTATTCTTTGGTCTGGGGAATAGCTGGCAATTTTCCCCCATTCTGTAGGTTGTTTCTTCATTCTTTTGGTTTTCTTTTGATTTTAGAAGATTTTTAACTTGACATGATCCCATTTGTTTATTCCTGGTGCAATTTTTGTGCTATTGAGGTTCTGTTCAGAAAGTCCTTGCCTATGCCTGCGTCTTCAAGAGTTTTATCTATTTTTAGTTCTACCAGTTAGTTTCCATTTTTTCCTTCTCTTCTTTTTTTATTGCCCCTCCTTTACTTTTCCCCTTCCCCTCTCCTTTGTTCCCTGTCTCCTTTAGACATTTTCTTCCCATTTCCCAATATATATTGTACATTTTGGTCCTTATTTGAACTTTCAGTTTCTCACCCCAGAGAAACTATGTGATGTTTGAACATATGTTCTAATTTATTTCACTTAAAAAAGTATGGTCTCAAGATGAATCCATTTAGTTAGAAATGTCTCAAGTTTATCCTTCTTTATGGCTGAGTAGTACCCCATTATAGAAAAAACCTTCATATTAAAAAATTTGTATAAAAATCTTCTTTATTAATTGTTTGATGGGCATGCAGGCAGTTTCTAAGATTTAGCTATTACAAACTGTGCCATGATTGTGCATATATCACTATGGTATTATGCTGTTAATTCTTTTGGGAATATATCAAGAAGGGGAATATTAGGGTCAAATGGAACCTCTAGTTTTAGTTTTTTGAGGAATCTTCACACTGCTTTCCATAGTAGCTGTGCCAGTCTACACTCTCACCAATAGTGGAGAAAGGTTCTTTTTTTTTTTCCTCTGCCTCAAAAGCATTTATTATTGGTTGATTTTTTAATAATACCCTTTCTTTATGGAGTGAGATGAAATTTCAGTGTTGTTTTAATGTTCATTTTTTAAATGACCAGTTATGTTGAACACTTTTTCATATATTTATTTGCTATTTCTACTTCTTCATCTAAGGAGTGTCTATTCATTTCAGATTCCCATTTTTGTTTGTTTATTTATTTATTTATTTATTTATTTATTTATTTTTTGGTACCAGGGATCGAACTTGGGTCCTTGCGCTTGCAAGGCAGGCCACTGAACTGCTGAGCTAAATCCCCGGCCCCAGATTCCCATTTTTGAATTGGACCTTTACATTTGGGGGAGGTCTGATTTTTTTTTTAGTTATTTATGTATTTTAGATATTAGTCCTTTGTCTGAGGAACAGCTGGCAAGATTTTTTTTCCCACTGTGAGTTGGTGGTTTCTTTTGCCCAGTAAAAGCTTTTTAATAACATGAGGCCACAGTTGTTGATTCTTTGTGATATTTCCAGTGTTATCAGAGGTTTTTGTTCATAACGTCTTTGCCAACACCAATGTCGAGAGTTCCACCTATTTTAACTTCCAGCAGATTTAATGATTTTGTGTTAACTTTTAGATCTTTGATCCATTTTCACAGGATAATCTTAGAGTTTCTTGTTTCTCAGTTAAGTTTTTGGATAACTCTTCAACTTGTCATTCATAATCCCTTCAAAGGCATAAAACCTTTCCTGTTTGGTTTTACCAATCTCCTCAACTCTCTGAACATTCTTATATGCTTCTACCTATATATCTATACTCTACAGAATGTTAAGTTGAGACATCTCTGTTATGAAATTTATTAGACATATTGTATTTTGATTTGTTGCCTGTACATCTGTGTCTCTGCCATTCTTTCTATCAGTAGTCAATGATCTATATCTTTTACTATTCCTACATGTCTTAATAATACCATGTATATAATAGATGTTCAATCAGTGTTAATCTTTAATAAAATGGATTCCTTTCCCTCCATTTTAATATATTTTAGGACACTTTTATCATCTCTTAGGAAAATATTTCTGAAGAATTTTTGACTATTTTTGTGTGTTCTTCGTGTGCTCTTGCTTGTCTTTCTACCTACTTCCAATGGACAATTCGACCCTGTGACAGTGCTTCTTTGCCAGTCAACTGCCAGTGGAATCTGTATGGCCCTTGGTCAGAATGCAGTGGCTGCACCAAGATTCAGGTAGGTCTGGCTAGCATGTTATTAGCTTTAGAATATTCATTAATTATTGTTAATGGTTTTTGGAACTTATTTTAGTGATTTTGATGAAAGAAAAGTATGACTTATTCATCAATTAATATAATAAAGTAATTTCTACATTCCTTTTTTTCAGAAGATGTTCCTAAATCCTGCCTGGCTGGAAATGTACATAGGCTAAAAGTTAAATGCTACTCACTAGCTATACGATAAATAGGAATATCATGAAATAAAATTAGGAAACAATTCAAAATCTATTTTTTATTCATTAGTTTCAGGCTTTCTTCTTTTAAACACTAGCAAAGAGCAAAATAGCTGCTTTATTTTTCTTCTCAAATAGTGAAAACTAACCAAAAATTATTTTGAAATGCTTTAAAGTTTAATTTTTTTTAAGAGTAGGAAAAATTTATTGAGGGGGGGAAAAAAGCTTCTGTCCAAGAGATACAGAAGGGGGACCAGAAAGTGGATTGCCTGCTCACCTAATCTTCAAAGATGTATTATACAGCAAATCCACATGGTGAGGCAGGTACAAAGTGGGACAAAACTATAAGACCCAATGGAAAATTACAAAGTGGGCATGAGGTGGGGTAAAACTGTAACCAACCAATAAGATTACAAGTACAGTCACCCAAGTATTATTGATTAAATGGGAATTAAACGGGGCAGCAAGTCACATAGCATGCATACAAGGATTTTCAGTAAGGGTGGGGGTCAGGGATATTTCCTGGAAAGGCTGGGTTAAGACCTTGGCCCCCCACCCAGGTGAGTGATACCTATTTAGAATATCAATCACTGCTATTTATCCCCAGGGGAAGCACAAAGGTATAGTGGTTTCTCTCCTCTTACAATTCTGGCCTTCAGTGAATGTGTCTTGATTGCCTTTCATGTTGGCTCCTTTGAGGGTGAGGGCTCTTTGGGGGTGGTCCTGTCTGCTTACAAGTTATCTAATTAACTTACCTTAATTTTTGAATAATACAAGTAAAATACTAGACTTGATATGAGTATTAAAAGTGATTATAAAAATATGTTTTTTCTTTGTTAAAAGTTCACTGAAAAAAAAAAAATGTAAAGTGTAAGGTAAGAAAACTTTTATGCCTGGGCATGGTGGCAATATGCCTGTAATCCCAGCATTTGGGATGCTGAGGCAGGAGGATTGCCATGAGTTTGGGGCCAGCCTGCACTACATAGTGAGTTTAATACCAGCCTGAAGTACAGAGTGAGATACCGTAAAAAAAAAAAAGAAAACAATGTTCATCTATTGAAAGGAATATATCAGCATTTTATTCTGTCAGCTCATTTTCTTTCTGTTGTTAATTTTTAAAAATAGAATTATTTCATTATAGTTTTGCATGAATTTACAACATCTGTGTTATGATCTGTTATTTAATATACCTATATTTTTTCACTTATTGTTTCATATATAGGTTTAATTTTTTATTATAAATAAAGTTTTATTGAACATTTTTGTACATAGATATCTGTCTTTTTTCTCATAATTTTCTTTTTTTTTATTGAGTTTATTGGTACACTTTAGCTATACAGCACAGCTACTACATTCATCATTGGGATCCTGTACCTTTACATGACAGGTCTTGGTCTCATAATTTTCTTAGGATAAAACCCTAGAAATACAAAATTTGCCTTAAAGTTTCAAATCATTTGAGTGATTGAACTATTTTTTAAATGATTTAGTTTGGGATCTGTATCTATATCTATATCTATCTATATATACATATAAAATTTAAAATATTATTAAAATAACAAAGCCATATTATAAGAACTAATTTGAAGCCTTGTCATTTTCATCAAATTTTTACTTAGTTCCTACATGTATGGTATTTTCAAAATAAGCTGTACAATGAAACATTTGTTTCCTAGCAAATGTGGATGACAACCTTGTTATAAGCAAAAAGTACGTGAATAATGAAACAGAAGTCATAGAAACACCAAACACATAAAACATTTTTATAATTTGTAAATGAGAAAAATCTCTAAAATAAAGGTAGACAGGAAGAGGGCATTTTTCACATAAGAAATTTTTTCTTTGAGTGAAGGTCAACGTGCAATGGATGTGTTCCTAGATTATAACAAAAAGGTTTTACCTAGAAAGAGACAAGTGAAAATGAAAAAGGGTCATGAGGTCAGAATGTGACAGATAACAATGAGCCTGTTGAGAGTGGGCAAGCTGGAGGCACAGCCTGCTAATATGGAAAGGAAAACATCCCCTATACAGACACTACTACCTGTGCTTTGGAATCCCAGAAAAGGACACATTGATAAATCACATTTGACATTTGTCTTCCCCATTTTAAATCAGAAACCAAGAATGGTTCCAGAATCTTTGCGGACTTCCACTCTTTACTCGTGGTTCTTCTGCTTGGACTCAGTGAAAGGTGTCATCCAGCTGATGCAAATGTACCGAGAATTCAAATGACAGTGTTGTCACTACTTGTCCCAAGCAACCCCTATTTCTAACCCAATTTAGGGTGGTTGAGCAAATTCAAAATTATTTCCTATACCTACTCTTCCCTGTTGACCTTCTAGAAATGAGATTTGGTTTGTTTTTATTAATGGAGAAGGGTGAGTACAGGAAGAGTGCTGAAAGATGCATCTTTGATTTGATTGCCAGTAAGGAGAGAAGGATTTTGTACATTTTTATTTTTGTTTAAACATAAGATAGTGCCTCATGATGAATGAGAATTAAATGAATTGTAGAGCAAATTAGTTGTAAGTTTTTCATTTAGCTTGATGATTGCCTCAATTTCCTCCAGAGGAGGGTTTTTCACAGAGGTCAGTGTTCTTGATTGGCTGATAAAAATTCATTGGAAACTGTAGCTTCACCATTGGATTTCTTAGGGTTGGTTTTGTAAATGTGATGGTCTGGGTTTTCTCTCTGGGTTATTATTTGTTGTATAGTTTTTTTTTTTTTTTTTTTTTTTTTTGGTACTGGGGATCAGACTCAGGACCTTGTGCTTGTGAGACAGGCTAGGTGCCACTGAACTAAATCCTTGGCCCTACCACCACTTTTCTTAAGGTTCTCCTAACTCCACTTCACCTTAACCTCTATTCCCAGTACCCTTAATTTCCTCCCAGCAAAATTCATTTCACCTTTTAAAATTTGCTTTTGGTATATAGCTTCAGCCAAGACAGTAATCCATTCTGTATTATAATCTACTTGCTTATGTGTCTCCCTTGTTAAGCCTCATGCTTTCAAGTGATTTTTTTCAAAGATTCACTAAAATGTTTTTTTCCACTGAAATCTGAAAGTAAATATATAATTAGGAGCTCTCTTGTAATAAATGCTAATCTAAGAGTCATTGGAATCAAGGACAGGAGCATTTATAGGGTCACTGATCTTGTAGATTTTTTGTAGAACACAAGAAAACAATTCATGGACATTGTTTTTCAAATTGTATTAATTTGTCTCTGATTTTATTATTCTGAAAAAGAAAATTGGAGATAGTAACAACAGAAGACATTACCTGTTTTGTGCTTAGATTCGTAGGCGGTCAGTTGCTGTTTATGGACAGTATGGGGGTCAACCTTGTGCTGGAAGTGCTTTTGAAATACAACCATGTGAACCTACACAAGGGTGTCCAACAGAGGAGGGCTGTGGACAGCGTTTCAGGTGTTTTTCAGGTAATTTGTTTTTCAGAGGCTCAGCATGCAGACTTTAAATTCAAGTGCTGTTTGTTTAATTTGCTTGATATGTATGTGTTGAATTTTACTGAATTTATATTAGTTTTCCCCAAACATCAGAAGGATTTTTGTGGGTATATTCATCACACACTTAACTATCATTCCTCCCAGTGCAAGGTGGGGCATCTTGTATTGAAGGCAGAAATATTCTTTGGCTCTTTGAATTGAATTACTTTGTAGCTACCAACAGGCCCAAACTTTCTGCCATTGTGGTTATGGTGAAGATGAAGAAGCAGTGGGATATAAACACAAGGCTGGACAAAATCATTGGTCCTACCCAATTGTTATGTTTATAAGAAAAGTAATTAAAAATAGCTAATCAATGGGGTCAGCCAGTTTTGATGATTGCGGATGACCAAACCAGCCTTCGGAGCATTCTCTGTCCTACTTCCGACTTTACTTGTGCTGTGACCATGTTCATTATAATCTCAAAGGAGAAAAAAAACCTTGTAAAAAAAAAGCAAAAACAACAACAACAAAAAATCTTATTCCGAGCATTCCAGTAACTTTTTTTGTGTATGTACTTAGCTGTACTATAAGTAGTTGGTTTGTATGAGATGGTTAAAAAGGCCAAAGATAAAAGGTTTCTTTTTTTCCCTTTTTTTGTCTATGAAGTTGCTGTTTATTTTTTTTGGCCTATTTGATGTATGTGTGAAACAATGTTGTCCAACAATAAACCGGAATTTTATTTTGCTGAGTTGTTGTAAAAAAAAAAAAGCTAATCAAGGGAGCAATATGCGGTGTGATCAAAATATAAGGTGAATATTTAAATAAGATTTTTATCCCAGTAAAAGACACTTTTAAGTGAATCCTCTTTCTCTCACTTCAAACACACTTATGCCCCTGTTCTCTTTTTCTTTTAAAGTACATATTTGTGATGCATAGTGTGTCCTGGGTAGCTTTTGTAATACATATCCCATCTTAATTCACTTTGATTCCTTTCCCCTCTCCTTATTCCTGCCACTTTCTGAAGCAGTGTCTTATGCAAGTGTCTGTATGAGGTGTGCTCAAAAACATGGTGAATGCTCTGGCCAAATGTCATTACGCAGAAAAGCAGGTTCATAAAAAATATTCCAGTGTGTCTTCATCTACCTTATTCACCAGATCTGCCACCAAGAGTGACTTTTAGCTCTTCCTCAAAGTCAAAATGACCATGAAAGGTAATTGTTTTGAATCAGTTCAGGGCACGAATGCAGCAACAACAGTGCAACTAATGACACTCATGAAAGAGGACATTCAGAATTGCTTCAGAATGTGGCAAGAATAATAGATAACTGTGTCAAAAGGGAGGGTAAGTATTTGGAAGGGAATTAATGGCAATATATATTTTAATAATTTTTAAAATGTTTTAATATTCACTGTATTTTTTTGTTTGTTTTTGTGTTTTTGAGACAGGGTCTCAGAATGTAGTTGAGATTGACGTGGAAGTCACTAGGTAATCCAGGCTGGTCTCAAACTCACAGTGATTCTCCTGCCTCAGCCTCCTGAGTGTTGGGATTACAGGCGTGCACCACCATGCCTGGCTTCACTGTATTTTGGATCATACCATGTACAGTTAGTTCCCATGTATGAGGAGATCGAATATAGCTTGGGCATTTAATATTATTTAAAATTTTGTCTATGTGACCCATAATAGTCTGATTAATTTAATAACTTTTTTTTTTGTACCAGGGATCGAACTCGGGACCCTGAGCTTCAGAGGCAGGTGGCAGAAACACTGAGCTAAATTTCCAGGCCCTAATACAATAACTTTTAACAAACATTTATTATTATTTTTATCATCCAAATATAGTGGTGGTGAGGGATTGTGAACATAGATATGAAGCATAAATTCCCTTTTCTCAAAAGTATTAAAGTTTTTTGGGCAGAATGACAAAGAATTCCTCTGGAATGCTGTTCCACAATACCTGTCAAATTCTTATTATTGTTTCAAAATCCAAATCTGATGGTAGCTGCTTTGGAAAGCCTTTCCTAGCCCCCCAAAATGATAGAAGTAATTAACTGATCACTTTTCTGTATTCCCTTTGTATTTTGTACTATCGTTTGCTAGCCTGTGTGTCCCTCTTGATAAACTATGAATTCCTTGAAAATACAGGTGGACTCCCAAAAAGTATTTGCATCATTGTTCCAAGTGACAGTGGAGTGATATGGCTACGTACTATAGTATGGGGGTCTTCGCTCACGAACATCCGATGAAGACACAAAGAGTATCCATCATCATCTGTGGTGTATGGATGTTTTCAGGAGGGAATAATATTTAAATACTCAACTTGATTCCTGGTTTTTCTTTTGGGACAAGTTCTCATTGTGTAGTGCAGGCTGGCCTTGAACTCACTATGTGACCCAGGCTGATGATGCTCTTGCCTCAGTCTTCCGAGTGCCGGGAATACAGACATGCGCCACCACTCCTGGCGTAACTTGATTCTTGGAGTACAAGTAGGAGATAGCCAGAGGAAAACTTTCTGCACAGAGAAGTGTAAGTGTACAATCATTAGAGATGACAGAAAGTCAGGCCTTTCATCCAAGCAAGTGGCTCAGTATGACTAGGAACAGGAAGCTGGTAGTGGATGGCTGACTTGATATTGGGGAGGTAGGCAGGGCTACATAATCTGGCACTCTCCAGTGTTTTCTCGCTATCCTAGACTTAGATAACAAGTGTCTTCCTGAGTTATGATTTATGTCCCCATAGTCTTTCTTTTTAGATTCCAAAGCATATGGAAAGTTGACAAAGAAACTTTTATTCATATTTGTACTCCAAAATGAAGAAGGGGGTGTTGCACATAATAGAAGCTAAATAAATGTTGATTTTTTACTCTTTTGATACAGTTCTTGTACTTTCAATGATTAGAAATATAAACCACTAAGGAAAATACAAAATTGGCATCTTAGTTAATAATTACAGAAAAAAAGGAAACTGAAGGGTAGGAGATCAATTTGTCTCCCCAGTAGTTAGCAGCAATTGGGCTTTGGAAGATTTAGACAAAACCATTTGATGGTAATGGGCAAGGACTTCAACTTTGCCTTCAGATCCCCTTGTTAATTTTGTGTATGGCCAAGGTGAGAATTGTTCTGCAAAATGGAGACATTCCAAGGAGCTATCTCAAATTGACTATAGTGCACCAGTGTGGTGTTGGGATGAGAGAAAAATGCTTTTTGATCCTAGGCAGCATTTTTCTTCTCCCCTCTTTGCATTTGCATGGGTGTTTTTTCTTATGTTCAGGTCAGTGCATCAGCAAATCCTTGGTTTGCAATGGGGATTCTGACTGCGAAGAAGACGGTGCTGATGAGGACAGATGTGAGGATGCAGAAAGCAGACTTTCCTGTGACACTGATCATCCCCCTCCCAACATAGAGCTTACTGGCAATGGGTGAGATGCTGAGTAGCCTCGATATATCAATAGGTTCTAGTTTTTAACTGTGTTTTATCTTATAGTTTGGTGAGTCTAGTAACAAGTTACCCAATAGTTACAACTTTTTATTGGTTCATAGCTCTTTGTCACATGCTAAAGCAGTTTTTAAAATTCATATCTATGTACCTTTCAATTTGTGTAATAGGATGTAGAATAACCCATTGTTCTGGCATAGTCTGGTCTTAGACCTGAAAGTCCTGCATCTGGGGAAGCCTTCCACTCCCAATGAAGTCTGGACAGTTGGTCAAACTATGGGAACTGAGTGAGGCGTGAGTCAGGAGGGAGAGAGAAGCAAGGATACTACTCAAGTGAATGATGACGGAATCAGAGAGGAGAGAAACGAGTGCATTACAACACCTGGGCTGTAAAGTGATTGCCTAAACCGGTTGGCAGGTTTCCAAGAGAGGTTGGGAAAATCCCGTGTTTATGTTTTAGAAACAAATTATGAGGAATTTTTGGGGTCATCTTACCTAAGTTAAGCTTTTAGAGATATAAAATAATCTATTTTGGAGCAATAGGTATGGTTTTCCTATATTTTAAAATTTATTACCAGGGAAATAGAATAGTTACTTTAAGGAGTGTACTATTCAGCATAACCAGAGATGGTAAGTTGAAAATTCATTGTAGAAAGCATTCTCTCCTCCAAAGTCACCTCAATCTCATCGGTTTCATCTACAGACTCAATTCAAAACCAGTTGTTGCCATAGATACAACAAGCCTGCGTGTTACAAAAATATGCTGTGAGGCTGAAGGATGTTGGGTTTTCCTAGCTATTAGTGTTAGCTATTATGCCAAACCAGGGAAGTTGGATAATATATGGTGTGCATTAGCATGCTGTTCTCTTTATTTTCACTCTCTCAAGGAAGTACTTAACTGCAAAGTATTTTAAGAATTTCCAGAGTTCTCTAAATGATTTTTTTCAGCAAGTACTATTTCTGGTTTTTAATTGATATTTCTCCCTCCTCACTCCTCCTCCTCCTCCCTTAACAGTTATAATGCTCTCACTGGCCAGTTTAGGAACAGAGTCATCAATACCAAAAGTTTTGGAGGTCAGTGCAGAAAAGTATTCAGTGCAGATGGAAAAGATTTCTACAGACTGAGTGGAAATATCCTCTCTTATACATTCCAGGTACTTAATTCCATCAATTCAATTGATTTCTAATCTATGAATTGTCAGAGATTGTTTCTATGATTTAATTTTTGGTACTAGTTACAGACTTACTTATCTAATGTGTGGTTACTTTTCATAAATGTTTTATGTGAGCTCATGAAGAATCATTCTTTAACTGGGGGATGGGACAATGACACTTTTAATTTGCACTGTGTCATGTGAACTGACTTCCTTCTCCTTTTCCTCTGCCTCTTTCTCCCCCTCCTTCCTCTTCCCACTCCTCCCACCTTCCCTCCTCCCTCCTATGACTTCTCCTTCACACTGGGGATAGAGCCCAGGGATTTTCACATGCTAGGCAAGAAACCGACGCATTCTTATGCATTATTATCTATGCCATTTTTCATGTATTAAAACTCAAGACCCTCGCACAATGATAATGATAATCTCCTTATTCTGCCACAGTGATCGGTGATTTAAAGTTTAAACATTTAAAACTGTGAAATAGTTCCTATATAAGAATGGATGACATTTATGTTCAATTGGAAAGAAACAAATAAAACACATATATACCCATCATCCATTTTAGGAAATAAAATATAGCCAGTGACTTAAAGGATCCTATGTATGTTTCCCACCCTCCCAGACAAAAACTATTGTGTATTTTATATTAATAATTTCCTAGTTTTTCCATATACTTATTTTTGTTTTTAAATAAAAATTTATGTTTTAGCTTAGTCTGGTTCTTTGCCATTTATATAAAGAGAATAATATATGTTTTTCTATGACAATTTTTTTACTCAAAATTATGGTTTTGAGACTTATTCAGTTAATGAAGATGGCATTTTTATTGCTGTTCCTAATTTTGCCTTATGAAAATGCCTTGAACATTCCTGTGCGTGAGCCCACACAAATGAGCTAGACATTTTTCAGGCTCACACCTGGAGCTCAAATTGCTGCTCTAAAGGGTATGTGCATACTAAACCTTATTAGGTAAAGTTTCCAAAATAGCTCTATCAGTTTGTATACCCCACCCTCCCATAGTATGGAAGAGTAGGCTCAGCTCCATATTCTTGCTAATGTTGTTATTGCCTGACTTTTTAGCTTTGCTTATGATTTTAGGGTCCTTCTAGTTCAGGCTTCTGGTTCTCAAATGCTCTTTCTGTCAGACACAGCTCAACTCATCCTGTTCCTTGATATCAACACAAAATCTACTCACACAAACCATTAGGACAATATGAGACATTCTTGAGGATTTGGAGGAAAGACAGAAGAAAGATTTTCTACTGCAGTATTGCAAACATATTCAGGCTATTCTTCCTCTCCCATTAAAATATCCTTCTATCACCTCAATAAAGTCAAGTTTCTGGTTGCTTTCTGTTTTAACCCCTTGTTTGTTTCCCTCTCCAAAATCCCCTCTCCCATTCCTTTTCCTTCCTTTATCTCAGAACTTCTAAAATTTCCAGTTCAGCTCTCCTTATCTATGACTTCCAAATTTTTAAACTAAAACTACAATGATGGCAGACAGAAAGAACTTTTGTCTACCCAGATTAACCCTCTCTAGAAAGCAGCTGTAGGTATAAAAAGCAAACTCACCATCCTCTTTTTTTGTTTTTCTTTTTTGGTACCAGTGTTCCTACTCTAGTCCTTGCACCTGTAAGGCAGGGGGCAGCACCACTGAGCTAGATCGCAGGCCCTCACCATCCTTTTGTATGGACATTCCTCATGTAAATACCTACTTGTTTAAGGACTGTTCAGACTTTCTATCCATGCTCATAGTTCCTACTTATGACCTCCCACTTGGATTTATGGCCTGCATTTGTACTTACAATGTGGGAACATGAATAGCAGTGCGGTCTTTGTGTGGCTTCTTCTACAGTATAGTACTGTAATTTTTGCTGATTGTACTATACAGTAGTGTAGTTTTGTGTTCTCTTATACATTATACTACTGCATGTAAAAATTATGCAAAAAAGAAAGCAAAGTCATCAAGTTGGAGTTTCCTTTGACCATTTCTTTGTTCTGAATATTGTAATGTACATACTATATACTATTTCTCATTTAGGGACCAATCCATTTACCTGTATAGTTGCAGGAATGGAAATAAGCAAGGACTGTGCAATAAAAAATGATTTAGTTACATTTAAGAGATACTGAGACATGAAAATGAAATATAATACTGATCTGAAAAATAATTATAACTACCAAGTTTTGAACATCTACCATGGATTCTGCTCTATTCTAGGCAATTGATATAGTTTAATCATTACAATAGCCTTTAAGGTAAGTAACACTTTATTATTTTATGTATATGGAAGTTGGAGCTGACAGGACTTCAACCAACTTACTCCCAAGTCATCAAATCAAGAATAGTAGAACATGAATCCAGTTTGTCTGATTTTGTGGACCTTTATTTTTTTGTTACATCTTACTCTTCCCATGGATTGCATTGAATTTCTTTCTCAACTCTAAATTCTACATGTAAATTATGTGTATTGTAATTTAATCAGAAGGACCAGAAGGAGAATGTGAGATATGTTTATGTAGGTAACTTTTTCTTCCTCTACTTCTATGAGGATGTGTTGCTAATTCTTTCATAACTATAATCAGGAGAGTTGCACGTACGTTTTCTGAAGGGTCAAATCTGGAAAGTTACAGAGGAAAGGAATAAGAAGGAAGAGCATTTCTGACTTAGTTGAAAGGTAGATGTACTGGAATTCTGCAGTTTCTGAAGAAGAGGAATAATTTAGTAACAGCATGATTCTGACATTCATTTTCCTCAGCAGGATTTGGTTTTGGATTGACATCTGAAATGTCTTTCCAGTCACTAAATGTGAAGGTGTTTGCCAGAAGTAATGGGAAATTATAGCCTGTTACCTAGCAAGCAATAGCAATGTTTTAAGGATCCAGCCTGGGGGAAGAGAGATGGAAGCAATAGGCAGTGAGTGAGTCAGTCATTTGAGTGCTAAACCCAAATGTGGATATGGAGGCAGTGAATGTCCTTTATAGTTCAAATCAGTCAACCCAGGGCCCACTATATATTCCCCTCTCCAAGATGAGGATGGTGTCTCATGGATTATTAGAAGATGAATATTAGTAAATTTTGAATGCATCTCTTATCTCTGTTTTCATTATCAGCATTGTGAGTTTTGTTTTTAGAGTAAATCTGTGAGCTACTTCCTTTGATGTCATTCACATTTTCTGCTACTCAGATTTTTCATATAACAAGGAAGGTCTTTGAAACCTTGGCACATTGCTGTTCCCATTTGCTTGGGAAAGTGCTGCTCCACAGCCTGCAAAATACCCAGAGGGCTCTGGTGTTCATTGTCAACATGTGAGAAGTTGCAGATGGGTGTGAGTTAAAAACAGAGTAGGAGAAACTTTTCGGATTTTCCTGTATTTGGTCATGAATGTACTTCGTGATTTTTTTCTTGAGGAGAGACCACAGATATATATCAAGTGAAGGAAAAACATATTGTAAAAGCAATTTAAAGAAGTCTAAATTACCTCAGCCTTTGCTCGCTATTGGTATGAGGATGAGATATTAGATTTATAGATTTCCTTCTAACTAGGAATAATTTGGGTGATGATAAAAACAGCTCACAAAATAATCTTTGGATACTAAACACTATTCAAAAGCTTCATATGGATTTTTTTCTTATATGGGTTAAGTATCCCTAATCTGAAAATTCTAAATTGAAAATGTTCCAAAATCTAAAACTAACATAAAGCTGATGTGAAAAATTCCACACCATGAAACTTTTTTCATGAATAAAATGATGATTAAAAAACCCATAAAATTACCATCAGACTATGTGTGTCAGGTGTATGTGAAATATAAATGAACTTTTGTTTTATCCTATCTCTAAATTATCTTATGTACATGTAAATATTCCAGAGTCCAGGACTGAAATCTCAAAGGGATAACTCAACCTATAATAGCCTAAGGAGATAGGGACTGCTGTCTGGGTTTCACTTCACAGATTAAGAAAATGGACAGAAAAAATATGAGAAAATGAAATAATGGAAACAAAGTTTTTGTAAACAGGGAAGGGTGGAGGGGGTGAAGGGAGCACAGAGGTATGGGGAAAAAATGAGAATCAAGACCTGTCATGTAAAGGTACAAGATCCCCAAAAAACAAAAAAACAGAAACAAAAACAAAAACAAACAAACAAAAAAAACAAAAGAAAGGAAAAAAATGGACAAAATAACTGCAAAATATCTTACCCATGATCAGAGAAGTAGTAGATGACAAACACAGGATTGGAACAATAGAAACCCAGCTCCAGTACTGTGTTTACAGGATATTTATCTATTTATCTCTGTACCTGTATGTATATATGCATGTACTATACCTATCTATACTACTAAATGTCTATATATCATCTCTAGTGTGGGTGGAAAACAGCAAAGGAGAGGGAGAGGAAAAAAATGAAAAAAAAAGACAAAGTAGGCACTTCTGAATAACTGAAAAAAGTTCAAACTGGCTAGATTTCAGAGTGAAATATGAAAAATTACAAGAAATAAGGTTATGAATGATCTGCAAAGTAAAAAAACATATATGTTTTAGGCAGTTAAGCAGTTTGGATTAAAACAGAACCATTGGAAAACTGTGTGTGTGTGTGTGTGTGTGTGTGTGTGTGTGTGTGTGTGTGTGTGGTAGAGGGACTGAAGCCAGGGCTTTTACACTGAGTCCCTGGCCCTTTTTTACTTTTAAGATAGGGTCTTGCTAAGTCATTAAGTTGCACAGGCTATGCTGGAACTTGAGATCCTCCTGCCTTAGCTTCCTGAAGTCCTGGGATTACAGGTGCACAGCATTATGCTTGGCTTACTGGAGTTTAGGAAGGGAGTTCTGTGATGCCATTCTCAGGGAGAGTGGAGAATGGGTTAGAGAGTGGGAGACATGAGGAAAAAGGCCTGTTTAGAAACTGTTGTGCTGATCCTCAAGAAGGGTGTTAGTAGCCCATGGTGGCTTGGTGAATGAGTGAACATGGAGGGTGATGGAGGGTGAGCAGGCACG